GATTACCATAGCGTAAATTACCCAGACTCAGTGTGGCGTATTTATCAACATGTGTCTTATATACAGTGCTTGCTATGTCTTTTTTTTTTTAAATCTCCTCTCTGGTTACATTAGCAACAGGACTTTTAAATTTTTTCCTGTGTTGCTACATTTTCTTTTTAATTACAGACTGAATTCCTAGCCTCCTCGCAAAGGCAATAGAAACCCTTATCCTGTGAATCCTTTATGTTTTATTTTTATTTTTCTCATGCTATGGGGGAGGTTATTTTGACAATTAGAAGGAATTTCCTATCTTTTAAAGTTTACAGATTAAATATGCTAATACTTCCTTCTATTTGGTCAGTGCCTGCTAGCTATCACATACCTCCTTAAAATAGTAAGCTTAACACAGTGTAATATTAAACATTAACACAACTGTTTAATAGTTAGTACTTGTTCTCACCTTGCAGAAACTTGAGTTAAAGGAATGAAGGGAAGCAAGTTTAATTCACTTTGCCCTTTGAGCTTTGTTTACTCCAAAAGTGCCTTTTTGAACAATTATTATGACTAATGTTGTATAGCATTGTTTTGGACATATGTTAGCTTACAAGTGTGGAGAGCACATTTTGACAAAGCTTTATGTGAATTTATGCTGCATAGGAAAAAATGACATTTTAAAACACAGTAGAATTAGAATCTGTGGGACAGTTTTCTTAAATTTTAACTGACCAAGTATTTTGAGAACCTACTTTGCCAGGGTAAAATGACAACAGCAATTAAAAAAAAAACAAACATTTGCAAGTGTATCTTTTTACTATATAGCATTTTTAAAATTTCATACCAGTCCCATCTATTCATTTATATTTATTGAGCATCTATTATATGCTGAGTACTGTTCTAGGTACTACAGACAGAGCAGGAACACACAAAGAGTAAGACACATCCCTCCCTCTCTTAGGAACTTATATTGTAGGAAGAGAGATAGATAATAAAGAAATAATACACTAAGATTAGGAATAAGACAAGGTTGCCTGCTTTCACCATTGCTGTTTGTCATTTTACTAGAAGTTCTAGCCAGAGCAATTAGGCAAGAAAAAGAAAGAAAAGATATCCAGATTGGAAAGAAAGAAAAAACTGTTCGCAGGTAACATGATCCTGTATTTAAAAAGTATCAACACATCCACAAAAAAGCTACCAGAGCTAACAAATGAGTGCAGCAAAGTCACAGGGTACAAGATCAACACACAAAAGTCAGTTGAGTTTCTATATGCCAACAGTGAACAACCTGAAAAAGAAAATTAAGAAAATAATTCCATTTACGATAGCATCTAACATAATAAAATACCTTGGAATAAATTAGCCAGGAGGTGAAAGACTTGTTTTCTGAAAACATTGCTGAAAGAAATTAAAGAAGACCTAAATAAATGGGAAGACATCCTGTGCTCACGGAGTAGAAGACTTAATATTGTTCAGATATCAGTACTACCCAGAGTGTTTTATAGGTTCAGCATAATCCCTATCAAAATTCTAGCAGCCTTTTTTTCAGAAATGGAAAAGCTGTTTCTCAAATTCATATGGAATTGCAAGGGATCCAAAATAGCCAAAGCAATCTTTAAAAAGAAGAACAAAATAGGAGGACTCAAACTCTCCGATTTCAACTCACTTGTTGACACGGTTAGTTTCCAAAGACCAGGTTGTTACGCGAAAATCGGCTTTCTGTGGAAATGGAGGATGACCACATCAGATCACAGAATGGAGGCTGACTGCATCGTTACATAACTGCCAAACCACTGAGAATCATGCCCCAGACAAGTTGCTACATAACCTCAACCATCACAGCCAGTATTACTCTTGCCTTACACCTTGACGTTCTTTACTGCCAGATGTACGTTGTTAATGCACAAAATAGTTGGATAGTAGGTTTTTTACTGTTGTCGTAAATGTGAAATGTCGGATAACAAGAGAGTTGATAAGTGAGAAGTAGGTATATGTCTTAGTTATCTAGTGCTGCTGTAACAGAAATGCCAAAATGGATGACTTTAATAAAGAGATATTTATTCTCTCACAGTTAGGAGGCTAGATGTCCAAATTCAGGGCGCCAGCTCCAGGGGAAGGCTTTCTCCCTGTCTCTGTTGGCTAGGGGAAAGGTCCTTGTTGTCAGTCTTCCCCTGGTGTAGGAGCTTCTCAGGCACAGAGACCCAGGGTCCCAAGGACATGCTCTGCTCCTGGCACTGCTTTCTTGGTGGTATGAGGTCTCCATGTCTCTCTGCTCACTTCTCTTTTTTATACTGCAAAAGAGATTGGCTTAAGACACAACCTAATCTTGTAGATGAAGTCCTACATCATTAACATAACTGCCTCTATTCTTCATTAACATTATAGAGGCAGGATTTATAACATACAGGAGAATCCCATCAGATGACAAAATTGTGGACAATCACACAATACTGGGAATTATGGCCTATCCAAGTTGACACATATTTTGGGGGACACAGTTTGATCCGTGACAGTGTATACACTGAAGTACTATAGCTATAGTAATCAAAACATTGTCTGGTACTGGTAAAAGGATAGATATACCAGTTTATGGAATATAATTTAGAGTCCAGAAAAAACTCATACATCTACGGTCAACTGATTTTCAACAAGGGTGCCATGTCCATTCAATGGGGAAAGAATAGTCTCTTCAATAAATGGTGCTGGGACAACTGAATCTGCACATGCAAAAGGATGAAGTTAGACCTATACCTCATACCATTGTGAAAAGTAACTCGAAGTGGATCAGTGACCTAAATATAAGAAATAAAACCCTAAAACTCTTAGAAGAAAACACAGGGGTAGTGCATTGAGAAAATATTTGGTAACGATATAGCTCATGAGGTTTGTTGTTGTTGTTAGCTGCTGTTGAGTCCACTCCTACTCATACTGACCTTATGTATAAGAGAAAGAAATGTTACCTGATCCTGTGCCAACTTGATGATTGTTCGTATGTTTGAGTCCATTGTTTTGGCTATTGTGTCATTCCATCTCATTTTTGCTAACCTTTGTTCAGCTAACTTTGTTTTTGTTAACCCTCTCCTTTACCAGTTGGAATCGACTCGATGGCATCGGGTTTGGTTGTTTTGGTTTTAGTTACCTAGTGCTGCTATAACAGAAACACCACAAGTGGATGGCTTCAACAAAGAGAAATTTATTCTCTCACAGTTAGGAGGCTAGAAGTCCAAATTCAGGGTGCCAGCTCCAGGGGATGGTTTTCTCTCTCTGTTGGCTCTGGGGGAAGGTCCTTGTCATTAATCTTACCCTCGTCTGGGAGCTTCTCAGTGCAGGGACCCCAGGTCCAAAGGACATGCTTGCTCCTGGCTCTTCTTTCTTGGTGGCATTAGGTCCCCATCTCTCCTTTTATCACTTGTAAAATAAAAGGTGATACAGGCCACATCCTAGGGAAACTCCCTTTTCATCACATCTGGGCTGTGACCTGAGTAAGGGTGTTGCATCTCAACCTAATGCTCTTTATCATAACCTAATCTTGCCTCATTAACCACAGGCAGAGATTAGGATTTACAACACACAGAAAATCACATCAGATCACAAAATGGTGGACAGCCACACGATACTGGGAATTATGGCCTAGCCAAGTTGATACACATATTTGGGGGACACAATTCAATCCATAACACCACCTATGAAGTCCTTTTCTAGCAGTTGGTCTTCCTGATGACGTGTCCAAAGTAAGCTAGCGGAAGTCTTAACTGTCCTCGCTTCTGAGGAGCATTGTGATTATATTTCTTCTAAGACTGAAAAAATATAATTGCTTTTCATTTTTCATTCTTCTGGCAGTCACAATTTATTCAATATTCTTTGCCAACACCACAGTTTGAATGCATCGGTTCTTCTGTTTTCCTTTTTCATTGTCCAGCTTTCACATATGTATGCGGTGATTGAACAGATCATGGCTTGGGCCAGGTGCACCTTAGTCATCAAAGTGAGATCATTGCTATTTAAAACTTTAAAGAGGTCTTCTGAAGCAGATTTGTCCAGTGCAGTACATCATTTGATTGCTTGACCGCTGCTTCCATGAACGTTGATTGTTGATCCAAGTAGAATGAAGTCATTGACAACTTCAGTTTTTTCTTAATTTATCATGATGTTGTTTATTGGTCCAATTGTGAGGATTTTCATTTTTTTCATGTTCAGGCATGATGAGGGTTTAACATCCAGAATATATAAAGAACTCTTGCAACTCAACGACAAAAAGACAAACAACCCAATGAAAAAATGGGGAAAGGACTTGAATAGACATTTTTCCAAAGAAGATGTACAAATGTTCAATAAGCACATGAAAAGATACTCAATATCATTAGTCATTAAAAAAACTGAAAACCAACTCATAGCGACCCTATAGGACAGAGTAGAACTGCCCTATATAGTTTCCAAAGAGCGACTGGTGGATTCGAACTGCCAACCTTTTGATTAGCAGTGGAGCTCTTAACCAGTTTGCCACCAGGGCTCTATTAGTCATTAGGGAAATGTAAATCAAAACCACAATGAGATACCACTTCACACCCACTAGGATGGCTATTATTAGAAAAATGAAAAATCACAAGTCTTAGAAGGATGCGAAGAAATTGGGACCATCATCCATGGCTAGTGGTAATTTAAAATGGTGCAGCTGCCGTGGAGAACAATTTGGCAGTTCTTCAAAAAGTTAAACATAGAATTACCGTATGACCCAGCAGTTTCACCAGTTTCTAGTATATACCCCAAAGTCTTGAAAGCAGGGACTCAAATAGATGACTTATACACCACTGTTCATTGCAGCATTATTCACGATAGCCAAAAGATAGAAACAACCCAAGTGTCCGTCCATGGATGAATGGATAAACAAAATGTGGTATATACACATAATGGAATAGTATTCAGCCATAAAGAGAAATTATGTTCTGATACATGCTATGATATGGGTGAACCTTGAAAACATGCTGAGTGAAGTAAGTCAGACACAAAAGGACCAATACTGTATGACCCCATTTATATGAAATATTTAGAATAGACATGCTTCAAGACAAAAGTTTATTTGTGGTTACCTGGGGCTAGAGGAAGGACCCTTGATGGTGCAGTAGTTAAGTGTCTGGCTGCTAACCCAAAGGTGGGTGGTTCGAACCACCAGCTGCTCTGTGGGAGAAAGATGTGCCAGTCGGCTTCTGTAAAGATTACAGCCTGGAGACCCTCTGGGGCAGTTCAGCTGTGTCCTACAGGGTCACTATGAGTCGGAATCAACTTGATGGCAACGGAGCTGGAGGAGGGAGAAATGGGGAGCTGTTACTTAAAGGGTATTCAGTTTCTGTTTTAGGGCGATGAAAAGCATTTGAAAATGCATAGAGGTGATGGTTGCACAACTTGGTAAATGTAACTAATGTCACTGAGTTGTACACTTAAAATGGACAAAATGGCAAATGTTTTTTATATATTATATATATATACATATGTATTTATATGTTTTAAATTTTACAGTTAAAAAAAAAGAATATAATGCCTGGCAGTAATAACTGTTGTGAAGACAGTGGAGGCAGGATAAGGGAATTGAGAATGATTGATGCAAGGATTATTTCAGATTGGGTAGTGAGGATAGGAGCCCTGGCCGCACAGTGGTTGAGAGCCACGGCTGCTAACCAAATGGTTGGCAGTTCGAATCCACCAGCCGCTCCTTGGAAACACTATCTGTGAGTTCTACTCTGTCCTATAGGGTTGCTATGAGTTGGAATCGACTCAGCAGCATTGGGCTTGGTTTTTGGATTTTAGTCAGGATAGGCCTCTCTGAGGAGGTGACATTTGATCAGAGATGTGAATGAGACGAGGGAGGAAATTCTTTGTGCATCTAGGGGAGAGAGTTTGGCAATGGAAACTTATCTCACTGTTGATGGTTTGTTGGGCACCTGTTTTAGTTCACAGTCCAGTCTTGTTCTCAGTTGATACCATTCATCAAGTTATTGTGTAATGCTTCAGACAGGGAGGGCGGGTTAGGAATGGAACTTGAGTCTTAGGGAGTGAATTCCCTTTAGGACTGAGTGTCTACAGAAAGAAGGGATGTGATGTTCATCCAGGTATCTTGAGGGGAACTAGATGACCCCATCATTCCAGATCTTCTGCCTCAGTTTGTTCTAAGCATCCTCTGCATGGGCTGCAGCACAGGGGACTTTGACAGCCTTGTCATCGCCTAGAGTCTCTGGAATAGTGATTGTGCTCTACTTTCCACACAGGGTGTTTGATTGTTTTGGAAAGCAGGGAGCCTCTTCAGGGAAACATTTATTTTCCAGCCTTTAGTCAGGTGATGAGGGTATGAATTTTCTTTGTCTCCAGTTTCTAGGTGAAAATAGTAGCATTTAAGAGATTTATTAATTCATTGGAGTTATTAAAAGGCCTTCATTGTACCAGACACAGTACAGGGCCTTGGGGAGTCAAAGGTAACATCACGCAGATCCTGCACTTCAAGGGCTGACGGTTTGTCAAGTCAGACAGACAGGAAGCCAGTGAGGATGTCTGCATAGGGCTCTTGCTGGGGCTTTCACCGTGAGGACACGAAGGAGGACTGAGATGTTCCGTATCATTCACTCACAGCTTTTTTATCATTTTTATTTTATAAAAATTAAGCTAACAGTTCTCTTTTAAAATACATTTTTTCTTGGTGAATAATTTCCATTTGGATTGCTTCATAATGCAGTAGGGTGAAGTACAAACCTCATGGAAACAGTGTAGATTTTGCTGACTACAACTATGGAAGGTAGTATCTTTGCCATAAAATGAGTTAGTTGTACTCTATTTCAACTCTTAAGGCCGTTGACCCCAGATTTTACTGTGCTGTGAAAAAAGCTGTGTGACTTCATCTTTATTCTCAGTAAAAATCAAGGCTCTGTGACACTTGCTAGAATTAATACGTGAGCGACATCTTACGTGATGTATACCCATGTACACCCTTCAAAAAAAGTGTTTTGAAACTCAGGTAATCAGGATGTTTGTAGCTGTGGGAAACAGCTGAAGTGTAACTCTAGAGTGGGTTTAAGGGTTAGAAAATGGCATTCCTTTATAGGAGCCCCTCCTTTATTCCTCTGTCAGCTTTTAGAAATTTTTTTTTTTTGCCTGTCCTCTTCTGCAAATTCCTTGTTTTTCCCTGTGCTAGTTTCTGGATAATTTTTTCAAATCTATCTTTTAATTCACTCATTCTCTATTTGTGCCTGTTTGTCGTTGTTGTTAGGTGCCCTCAAGCCGATTTCACCTCATAAGACCCCATATTGCAGTGTAGAACTGCCCTATAGGGTTTTCTTGGCTGGAATCTTTACGGAAGCAGATTGCCAGGTTTTTCCCTGTGAAGCGGCTGGGTAGGTTCAAACTGCCAGCCTTTCGGTTCCTAAGCTGCTATTAATTCATCTGTTGATTAAAAAAAAATTCAATGTTATATTTCATTTCTAAAAGTTTTATTTGATTTCTTTTTCAACTCTGCCTTCTCGTTTTTAATCTGTTGTTCTTGTCATATTTGTAATTTCTTTTTTAAGCATTTTATACTATTTGGTCTGTCTTCTCTATTATAATTCTAGTATCTGAAGTGTTGAGGGTCTAAACGTATAGTTTATTGTTTTTGATGACTGTAATTTTGGAGATTGTTTCTGGTTTGTTGAATTGTTGACTTGGAGCTCATATTTAGTTGATTTTATCCTGTGGAAACACCTGGGGATCAAAATTGATATTTTTTCCTGAGAGGATTTGAATTTACCTCTACTGGAAGCCAGGTCACCACCAGCCTGAGACCACTTTAGCCCTTTTATAGTGTCTTTTTTGCCTCTAGCAGTGCTTGTTTTGGCATCTGTTCTCTGATAACATCACCTTTGTGAGTGTTTTCCATTCAGAGTTTCAGTTTCAATTTCATGGTTTTGAGTCTTTTGTTTGTTTGTCCCTTGGAGGTTTCATGTATTTCTGAAAATGCAAATAACATTTTTTTTTTTATGGAGAATCAGCTTGGGTGGAACGGCCGTCAGAGTATCTGCCTTACTTGAGATCTCTAAATGATTTTTATTAGTAGTGGAAATAGTGGCGTGCTGCTTTAAAAATTATGAAAGGCATATTCAGGAAGAGGTTGATTCTAAAACGAAGTTTGAAGGTCCATGGAAGCGCGAGGTATGTCATCGGTGTTCTCCTTCGGGAGGATCTAGCTCCAGCTTGACCACTGATGATCAGCATGTGAGACTTCCATAAAGTCATTACTTCTGCCTGGGACTTAATTTTATCATCTGTAAAGTTACCCAGGTGACTTAAAGTTCCTTCTGGTGCTAAAAATGTGTGATTTCAGGTTCTTTTTTCTTTTGTTGTATTGAATAAGCATTTAGTGAAGGTCTGTGTTCAGAGCATTGTGTTGGGTGCGTCAGAAGGTAAAGCACTATCGTAGCTGTTGCCTTTAACAAGCTTGCGGTCTGTCAGTTAAATTAAAAATAAACGATACAGAGCAGTTGTCCAGTTTGTAAGAGAGAATTCTAATAAGCGGTGGCTGTATGTGTACCTGTGCGTGTACCGTCCCCAGTGCTCTTCCAGTACCCTTTCTTTGAAGAGTCAGTCAGTCTTTAAAGATGCTGCTGCTGCTGCTGCCAATGATAATATTAATGATACTCCCCCCTCCGAAAGAAAAACCTATTGCCGTCAAGTCAATTCCCACTTAGAGTGACCCTATAGGACAGAGTAGAATTGCCCTTTAGGGTTTCCAAGGAGCAGCTGATGGATTCGAACTGCCAGCCTTTTGATTAGCAGTGTAGCTGCCATTTATTGAGTACTTACTGTCTTAGTTATCTAGTGCTGCTATAACAGAAATGGCACAAGTGGATGGCTTCAACAAAGAAAAATTTGTTCTCTCACTGTCTAGGAGGCTAGAAGTCCAAATTCAGGGTGCCAGCTCCAGGGGAAGGCTTTCTCTCTCTGTTGGCTCTGGAGGAAGGTCCTTGTCATCAGTCTTCCCGTCGGGGAGCTTCTCAGCGCAGGGACCCTGCGTCCAAAGGACGCACTGTTCTCCTGACTCTTGTTTCTTGGTGGTCTGCGTTCCCCCTATCCCTCTGCTCAACTTCTCTCTTTTATATCTCAAAAGAGATTGAGTTAAGACATAACCTAATCTTGTAGATTGAGTCCTGCCTCATTAACATAACTGCCACTAATCCCATCTTATCAACATCATAGAAGTTGGATTTACAACACACAGGAAAATCACATCAGATGACAAAATGGTAGACAACCACACAATACTGGGAATCATGGCCTAGCCAAGTTGACAGACATTTTGGGGGACACAATTCAATCTATGACACTGACTGTGTGCCAGGCACTGTACTAAACATTTGACATAAATTTGCTCGTTTAATCTTAAGCCAAGGAAGTAGATAGTGATATCCTCATTTTACGGGTGAAGAAACAGGCATAGAGAGATGAAGAAATGTGCCCAGGGTTACACAGTGAGTAAGTGGCTGACGTGGGATCAGAACTCAGGTATACTGTTATTAATGTCCAAATTCTAGCTGTGGGTCAAGCATATTATAAATCAGTTAGCATTGAGAGACATGGAATTTTTATGAGGACCAAAGCCAAATGTTTTTCTGTACCAGTGTTACCACACAGATTTTGGAAATATAAACAGAATAGGATGTATTGAAGTTCACTTCAGTTTGTTCAGTTAAACAGATGGTTGGCTTATCTTTAGTTGCCTCACCCAGAGTTGTTTTCAAAACCACACCAAAGTCAGTTTCAGTTCTCTGCACTACAGTACTGATTCAGGGATTGAGTTAAAGTGACATCTTACTAAATAATGACTGCTAAACGTGCTAATACAGATTGAACGTACTAGTTTTACTTAAAAAATAAAACACTAAAGTCAGATGAGTTTACAATAGAATATACTTTTAATTAAAATTTATTTTAACTTTTAGTTGCTTAAACTGTTTTTGAATTTTTTAATTGAATTTTTTACCACGTTACTTTTAAGTTTCTATCAGATGCTAGAATAATTAAAATATTTACTATTTATAGGGCGTCTGCTATTTGCCAGACATTGTACTAGATATTTTACATTAATTATTTCTAATTGTCTCAACAACCTTGGGACTTACCACTTGGGGTATTTTATTACAAATGAGGAAACTGAGGCACAAAAGATAATAAACTTTTCAAGGTCAGACGGTTGTAGATTGTGAAGCAGTAATGGGGTGCTGCTGGTGTTACCCAAAGCAGGTCTCGCTTAGTGTGGCTCCTCGTCAATAAAGACACACCGAGGTGAGGAGTGAGGAAGAGCGTTTATTTCAAGTGCACAGGCAAGGAGCAAGGAGGTGTATACCTCAAATGAAGCTCCCCCAAAAAAAGGAGGCAGAACCTTTTATACCATCTCTAAAATGAAATATATACAAGTGTTATGGACTACATAGGTTATCATGGTACGCAGGCACCGCAAGACAAATTTTTTTTTTTTGGGCATACATGAGCCACACCCAGTGCTTTGAGGACAGTGGACAGGAAGGGGCAGGTTCCACTTGGTCTGTGCAGCTCCCAATTGAGCTGCACCCATCGCGTGTCACCTAAGGTTTTGTTTGCTAATGGACAGGAGCAGCAGGTAAGCATCTCCAACTGAGCTGGCTATCCCTGGCACAGAAATTGAAACATGGATCAGCTGGTGGAGAGTCTAGAATTGTCTGTTTGAGGAGAGAAAAGATTATTGACATTGATGTAACTAAAAGACAACTTGAAAAAACTGGTTCACTCTGTCAACATCATGTATCATTCATCATATAAATTCCAGGAGGATTAAAGAGAAATGTTTAAAATTATAACAACACTGGAGAAAAAATTAAAGATTTATCAAAGAGTGCCTTAAAACTTCTGGGAACATTTATTAGACACGTGCCTAGGAAGGAACTGTAACTTTCCCTTTAAAAGGAAAGGTTTTAGAAACCTAAATATACAAAATGTGAAAGTATTTGCTCATTGAAAAATAAAATTACATAAGATAATAGGCTGGGAAAGTCAAATTAGGCAAAAGTCTAATAGCTCTACTATTTGTTATAAAATACTTTTTTTCAACAACATGAACGGGAACTATACATGTGGACCTCGCCAGATGGAATACACACAAAAGAATCAGATCGACTACATCTGTGGAAAGAGATGATGGAGAAGCTCAATATTATCAGTCAGAACAAGGCCAGGAGCAGACTGAGGAATAGACCATCAACTGCTCATGTGAAAGTCCAAGCTGAAGCTGAAGAAAATTGTAACAAGTCTGTGAGAGCCAAAGTATGACCTTGAGTATATCCCATCTGAATTTGGAGATCATCTCAAGAATAGATTTGACGCATTAACACTAATGACCGAAGACCAGACGAATTGTGGGATGACATCAAGGACATCATTCATGAAGAAAGCAGAAGGTCATTAAAAAGACAGGAAAGAAGGAAAAAACCAAAATAGATGTCAGAAGAGACTCTGAAACTTGCTCTTGAACATAGAGTAGCTAAAGCAAACAGAAGAAATGATGATGTGAAAGAGCTGAACAGAAGATTTCAAAGGGCAGCTTGAGAAGACAAAGTATCATAATGACCTGTGCAAAAACCTGAAGTTAGAAAACCAGAAAGGAAAAACGCACTCGGCATTTGTCAAGCTGAAAGAACTGGAGAAAAAAGTCAAGCCTCGAGTTGCAGTATTGAAGGATTCTACAGGGAAAATACTAAACGACACAGGAAGCATCAAAAGAAGTTGGAAGAAATACACAGAGTCACTGTACCAAAAAAAAATTGGTGGACAAACAGCCATTTCAGGAGGTAGCATATGATCAAGAACTGATGGTATTGAAGGAAAAAGTCCAAGCTGCACTGAAGGCATTGGTGAAAAACAAGTCTTCAGGAGTTGATGGAATACCAGTTGAGATGTTTGAGCAAACAGATGCAGCGCCAGAGGTACTCATTCGTCTTTGCCAAGAAATTTGGAAGAGAGCTGGCTTCCTGGCCAACCAACTAGAAGAGATCCATATTTGCACCCATTAAAAGAAAGGTGATCCAACAGATTGCGGAAGTTCTTCATATAGTCCAGGTTCTTGGAATATTTGCTCAGCATATAGATTGAATAAATATGGTGAAAGGATACAACCCTGATGCACACCTCTTTTGATTTTAAACCATGCATTATTCCTTTGTTCTGTTTGAACAACTGCCTGTTGCTCTATGTACAGGTTCTTCGTGAGCATAATTAAGTGCTCTGGAATTCCCATTCTTTCCAGTGTTACTCATAATTTGTTGTGATCAGTGCAGGCAAATACCTTTGCATAGTTGTGTGAGCCATAAAGGAAGTAAAGCTTAATATTTAATCCAAACCCATTGTCTTTGTTATGTAGTGCTGCCTTAACAGAAATACCACAAGTGGATGGCTTTAACAAATAGAAATTTATTCTCTCACAGTCTAAGAGGCTAGAAGTCCAAATTCAAGGCATCAGCCTCAGGGAAAGACTGTCTTTCTCTGTTGGTAGCGGGGGAAAGTCCTTGTCATCGCTCTTGCCTTGGGTCTAGGAGTGTCACAGCACAGGGACCCCAGGTCCAAAGGATACGCTGTGCTCCAGGGTCTTCATTCTTGGTGGTAGGAGGCCCCTCCTCTCTGCTTGATCTCTCTTTTATATCTCAAAAGAGATTGACTCAAGAGACAACCTAATCCTGTAGATTGAGTCCTGCCTTGTTAACATAACTGCCTCTAATCCTGCCTTATTAACATCATACGCCTCCCCCCCCCCAAAAAAAAAAAAGCCAGACCCGTTGCTGTCAAGTCGATTGTGGCTCATAGAGACCCTATAGGACAGGGTAGAACTGCCCCATAGGATTTCCGAGGAGTGGCTGGTGGATTTGAACTGCCAACCTTTTGGTTAGTAGCCTGAGTGCTTAAACACTGTGCCACCCGGGCTCTGTAAACATCATAGAGGTTAAGTAGGGGTTAGGATTCACAACTCATGGGAAAATCACATCAGATCAGAAAATGGTGGACAGCTGTACAACATTGGGAATCATGGCCTAGCCAAGTTGACACCAATTTTGAGGGACACAGTTCAATCCATAACACCCATTTTGGAGGTTTTCTTTGTTTAAATTTTTCTTTCAAAGGCCAGTCCT